ACCATGGGGCTCGGTATCATAGTGGAGGCTGGGGAAGCAGACGTTCCAGTTGGAACAACCTTGCTCGAGGACATAGCCTCAAACACAAGCCTTTTTCAGCTGAACACGAATCACTTTTATCTGGGGAGCAGCAGAGGATAACAGAGGCAGAACGAGAAAGGCCAGTAATTCACCATCATCGACGGACATTTTCATTGGATACTAAAGATTCCTCTGACCTGGAGTTGGCTCCAGCAGTCTCATCCGGTCATAAGCCATCATGGAAGATAGGAGTGACTCTAGGGCCAAGCAAGCACCAGGATTGCAATGGCAAAATGCCCACAATCGCTAAAGACATCTTTCCAGAAATGAACAATCGGAAAGAACATGGAGAAGATGATGAAGAGATAGATTATGTAAATATTCATTCATTCATTCATTCATTTAAATGTATTGACTACACACCTTATCACAAGGTAACTGGGTGATTTACAATATTAAAAAGATAAAATACTACAAAACTGATACACAATAAAAAGATAAATACTCAACTTTAACTAAAAGATGGGGAGGGAGGGGTAGGATGAGCATATCTGTCAACAACCTCCAACCTGAAGCCCCCTCATAGGAGCCCCAGGTCAACTTGCAGAGCCAGATCTTTAAGCTGTTGTGGAAAATCAGGAAGCTTGGAACCAATCTCACTCCAGGAAACAAGATGCTCCAAAGGGCAGGTGCTACAGCAGAGAAGCCTCTTCTCCTGGACCCCGCCAGCCGGAATATCTTGGCTGATGGGGCCAGATGGGGCAGGCCAATCCCATTGGGATGAGACGGTCCTGCAGTATTTTTTCTACCTTTACTAAAAAAAAATGGAAAATGAAAAAAAATATAGTAAATGAACAATGTTACAATATTACAATATAACAATGTACAGTGCAAAAGAAAAATCATAGCAAAGTTTTAGTGTGATTACTTCTACAGTGATCACTGGAAGAAGATCTCACAGTAACATTCCATTTAGAAGGAAAAGAAGATTAAGAGAGAATCCAAGCGGCTCAAGGGTCTCAAAGCAAATTATTTTACTGCAGTATTCTAGCTGTTGTTCATCATTCTTCCATTCCATTCCTATATAATAAATAATTCCATCGCAGACCAAAGCAAACTTTCTGAATACTCCAACCATGACATCATTGCGTTATGGGTATGATCTTTGTTGTGATTTTATAATCTGCAGAAGGTATATTAGATAGTGAACAACTAAAGCTGATCAATCAGTACATGGGTGATTTTTAGTTGGGCATGATAGATACAAGGGAGAAAGGGAAACAAGTACTGCTCAACAGCTTCTGATTTTCTGCTTCTGCCTCTACAGAGCCTTTGTTTCCGAATAAAGAAGATGATAGAGGCCTACAAGCCAGATTGGTGTGAGTTGCGGGAAGATTGGTCCATCTATTTATTCTCACCAGAAAACAAGTATGTTTCATTTCCTTGTGTTTTGGGGAATGGAGATTCAAGAATGGGTTTATCACCCTGACTTCAATTTTATTGTAGAACTGATTTAATTACTTGCAACAAGACTTTCTATTGTGCATTCATGTTATCATAATACAAAATTAGAAACAATAATGAAAGATTGCTCCTTTTCTTTCCTTCTTCCTTTTTTGGTCTTGCTTTTCAATTTTGCTTTTCATATTTTCCAGGGAAGCTGTACTGTCATGTTATCTTAAGACCAAGTGGCATAAAACATACATTGTCATTCCATTCTCCTGATTTTTTAAAACTGTTTTATACTTTTCCCATATTACACTGGCTCTTTTTCTCCTGTGATTATAGTTTCAGCATATTCTCAAATCATATGCATTTAGGTTTAACCACTTTGAAAATTTTATCAGTGAAGATTATTTGGAGCTGTGGAAATTACTTTACAATATTTTCTTCCACTTTCTCCTTTGATCTCTGTCAGCATAACAGGTATTTGCAGGCAAGAAATTTGTTTCTTCTGCATAATCACATAGCATCTATATTTAAACCTGCATTCTGTCCTAATTAAGCAGATATGCATATACTTACCATACTTAACAACAACACCATGACTGCCCATTTCATGGATAATTACAGCAGTGTGTTGTGGCTTGTGCCATGTGTTTATGGAGTAAATACAAATTCTATAATATCCTTAACCTTTCAAAAGGTTCCTATGTCTCCCAAATTACAAAAGTATGCATTGGTGTATCACATTATAAAAATCGCATTCATGAACATGTGGTTGCCATGCAATAATTGCATTTGAGAAAATACAGGCTCTTACAACATGCCCTGAGCAAATCATTTTGCATTTCAATAGAAAGTCTTACAGAAACTGAGGAATTTATTTTTGCTTTTAAAATGTGAGTTGATTGATCAATTATGTACCATCAAGCAAATGGGAGAAAATAACTACAGGTACTCCTCAACTTACCTACAGTCGTTTAGTGTCTGTTCAAAGTTATAACAGCACTGAAAATGACTTATGACTGTTTTTCACACTAACAACCATTGCAGCATCCCCATGGTCACATGATCAAAATTCAGATGTTTGGCAGCTGATTCATATTTATGATGGTTGCAGTGTGCTAGAGTTGCATGATTACCTTTTTTGACCTTCCGACAAGCAAAGTCAATGGGGAAGCCAGAGTCACTTAACAATCATGTTACTAACTGTACAACTGCAGTGATTCACTTCACAGCTGTGGCAAGAATATCTTAAAATGGGCCAAAATTCAGTTAACAAATGTTAAGTGACATTTAGTAACAGAAATTTTGGGCTCAATTCTGGTCATAAGTTGAGGATTACCTATAACTCTTTCTATTTTTCAATTTTATTAACAGCTAAAGTTTAATGTAGTACCCCTTTCCATCCCCTATTTGCCTTATTTCCTTTAAATCCTCCAGGTATCTCTGTCAACCAGCTAGGCACAGCTTTTTCTACTCAGGAACTGAATTTTATTTTTTTTAAGGCCATCAAGGATGAAGTGATGTTTGTAAATATGGGATTACATCACCAAGAGGAGCTTGTTCAGTATAAAATAGGCATATTAAACCTTTGGGGGATGAAAAAAATGTCTGAAAAGATTGTGTTTGGAAACTGGTGCTTTGCCACCAAATGTTGTTAATGTGAACTGGGGTGCATGGGGAAGCCTGTTATGACCATATATGTCTATTGTACATATATTCATAGATAACATTTTATAGTTTAGAACCAACTGTCTTCCAGATTTCGCATTCTCTGCCAAACTATCATTGCTCATAAGCTATTTGATTATATTGTCCTGGCCTTCATTTTCTTGAACTGTGTTACTATTGCCTTGGAGAGACCTGAGATTGAACAGAGAAGCACTGTGAGTAGCTTTGTATAATAATGAGTAGTCTTATAATTTTAGGAGTTAGAAACTCATAAATGCCTTCTTCAGCCTCTAAATAGTACTGTATATAATAATTGGATTTAATTCTAAGGATTCGCTTTATGCTGTTCAGAAATATCCAGAGACATTTGTTTTAGAGAGTAATAAAGGTCATATGGATATAAATAGTATTCAAGTGGTAGAAGGCTGTTCTTGCTTCTATTAATGCTTAATGTCTGTAAGACAGTGACTGGACTCCCAGAAAGACAGATCTGAAAGATGAGGAAGACCCATCTCCTTGTGCATGCCTGCATAGTGTGATAAGGGTATAGTAATACAGATAATATATTTGTAATTATATTTATATTTTTAAAGACATTTGTGTCCCCAAATAAGAAAAAATCTTTAGTTGCTGGTTGATACAAATACATTTCTGCCTAAAAGGAATTTAATTGTATGATTACTCTGGGAGAGAACAAAGCAAATTATTTAAAATACCAGGTTGGGAGATGCTTTTGAGGCAATATACCCAAATACACTATATTTTCAATCATAGCAATTCTTAACCTTAATATAAGCACCATTTCCCAAGCCTGTAGCAATAATTTAAATGGAAAGATACTTATTATATCTATTTTGAGGCTGCCTTTGATTGTTCTAGGAGAGAATCTTCCTCACGGTGTCCAATTACATCTTCACAGCAATCTTTGTTGCTGAGATGACACTGAAGGTAAGTTACCCACTGCCAAGTCATTCTTGCTGTGCTGGCTCAACTAATCTCTTAAGTGGAAAAAGAATGCCATTTTCACAACTATTTTCAGTGAATAGTGTCACAGATTATCTCAGTGCTGTGCAAATTCTGTTGAGAAAGGATTACCTTCATTATGAATTGGCTTTGTTTGCACTCATTTCAACATATAGAGAATTAGATTTAGTAACTGTTTAACATTATCATATCATCAAGTTCACTACATGATTCCCAATTAGCTAGAATTAATTTAGAAAGAAGCCCTAGGCAGGGGAAAAGAAGCCAGATCTTTGGATGGAAAGAAGTTAAAAGCTTGCACATTTCAATGATGCTTCCCCCCAAATATTTATTCTTTTTTGAAAAAGAGAAAACCCATTTCAATCCAAAAATAAAAATGAATAAATGTTTAGCATGGCCTTGGAACTTCTTTTTTCAATTTCTTCCCACAGACGGAATCTGTAAACATTTTATAACTATGGTACTCTTACTTATCTAAAATGAATAATCATCCTTATGAGGATGAAAAGTTGTGTACAATAAGAAGGAGTAGAGGTCACCAGCATCTTGAAGTTGATTAGTAACTTTATAGAACATAATTTTTGGAGGAACTAGTCAAAGCTTCCATGTGTATGTACACTTTGAGAGGAAGCAACTAAATTTCATTTTTAATGTGTGACATTGTGCCCACAGGAAAAAAAATGATAATAAAGGATATCTATCTATCTGTCTGTCTGTCTATTCTAATTCCTCTCTTTCTCAAAATTTATTCTGCTGAAAGAGATGAACAACATGTTGACACAGTTGGTTATTGTGTTTACGTTCATTCTTTACCCATCATTATTATTACAATCGATTCTATGACCTAATGAATCCATCTTTGAGGAATCGGAAATGTACCTCACTAGAGATGTGACTTAGCTTTATTGATTCATGGTTTCATTTCTCATGCTCATCCAGTCCTTAATCTTTCTAGGTAGTCTCTCTTGGTCTGTATTTTGGAGAACAGGCCTATCTACGCAGTAGTTGGAATATCTTGGATGGCTTTTTGGTGTTAGTATCCATTATTGATATCGTAGTTTCAGTAGCCTCTGCTGGAGGAGCCAAAATCCTGGGAGTGCTAAGAGTCCTCCGACTGCTCCGCACTTTACGCCCCCTGAGGTAAGATCCAAGAAATTAGACCTTGTCTATATAATAACCCTGCTTGGAAAATTTGAAAAATACATTTTGTTTTGTCTCATATGTATTTAGTACGGTAAAGCCTCTCTCGAATCATGCTCAGCTGCTAGTGTTTTCATGGACATAGACAGGAGTTTTCTTGGCAACCATAGAGAACTTAGTTACCATTCCCCAACTCCTAATCTAGTCTATAGATTTTCTGGTAATCCCCATCTCCATACTCAGCAGGTTTGACCCTGCTTGAGATTTTTAGAGCAGCCAAAGTTGACTAGGTGTAAGGATTATGAAAAAAAATATCAGTCACTATTTGAAATTAAGGCAACGAAATTTATTTACTGAATTAATTCAGTAAATAAACTTTGTTTCCTTAATTTCAAATAGTGACTGATTTTTTTAAAATTAATTAATTAATTAATTCGATTTGTATGCCGCACATCTCCAGACATTTAATTAAAATTCACTATAAAACATTAAAGCAATAAATAAAGATCACAAATTTAAAATTCAATTAAAATAAAACTAACCAGGATGGAGAGGGAGGGAGCAGAGTGCACACAGGGAGGAAGTGGGGTGTTACTTACTCCAAAATGCCACCTCCAAAATGCTGTATCCCATTGGGGCCCCAGTCTAGGTGGCACAGCCATGTCTTCAAGAAAGCCAAAGGGGAGGGTGCAGATATCCCCTCGGAGGGTACGATGTTCCAGAGGGCGGGAGTCACAGCAGAAAATTCTTTGGCTGGTGGGGTCCACAGCACGACTCTTCTGCCAGTGTGGGTGGGGTGGGCCAATCCTATCAGGATTTAATTTAAATTTAATCTCTTAAAAGAATAATATTAGTTCTCTCTATCTCTATAAATATTGTCATTTGTAGAAATCCTTTTTCAGTTATTATGAATATATTAATTATTTTTCAGTTTGATTGAGGGGTGAAGATTGCTTGGTAAAAAAACAATTTCCAAAGGAAATTCCATGAAACTTGTGAATTCTCCTTAAAGTTATTTATTTAAAAATATTTGGAATACTATGCAGTATAACGTTGAATTAAGGGGTTTCCAGTTTCCTCTAAGTAGACATTTGCCCAGCTAGATTTGAAAGAAAAATAATAATTTAGAAAGTATTGTCATTTTTATTGCTGCCCCCAAATATTAACTTTAGACTTTCCCACATTCATATAATTTTTAATGCACTAATTCAATTACAATGTCAGATAGTGAGGGAAGAGAGGCTACCCTACCTTATGCCCTTAACTAAATCAATCTTTTCTGATATAACATTACTTGTGTAAATTGTAGCTGTTACTTCTACATGTATTTAATTAAGAACGATAAATTTTAACAGCTGGTATAAGGAACAGCAGTTTAAAGAATCAAGTATTTTAAAAATATCCACTGCAAACAATAAGATAGGCATTTTGGGGGAGTAAAGAAATAAATTATCTTGAATCATTCCTTTATAAAAGTGGACTTCAACCTTTCTGCATGATTTCTTTGCATCTGACAGTATACAGTTGTGATGAAGGCTTTGATCCTTTTTAACATTAGGGTTTTTGCATCCAACCATGCTTTTGACCACATCTCTTAAACACATGTTGTGTCTAAGAACAACTATTATTGTGTCTAACAACAACTATTTTTCTCATTTTTTTCAACATATTAAGCAATTTGCTTCCATTCAACATAAAACAAAGCAATATTTTCACATATGGGGGGGTCTTCCCTGAAAGCTTTAAAAATGCATTGATAGAGCATTTTTCTCCAGGACTCTTGTCTATATTTACTTATTTTTTATTTCTTTATTTTCCCCCCCTGAATCTCAGTTATGTTCCTGTTATAGAAGTGTTGGTGTTATATTTGAAAGAAATATTTCTATCCTATTGTGACATGTTATTTAAGTTCTGTAAAGAAAAAGCATTTAAAAAAAAAATTCTATGTTTTCCACTATCTTTGATACATCAGCATCCACAACAGGGGTCAATACAGGCAAACTAGTAGATGTGGTATCATGATCCAAGTATCACACATACAAATATAGAGGGGGTTAGGCTTGGATTGCAGTGCTGCCATTCTACCTGTTTTGACCATGGAGATGAAGATTTGAATTTTGTTCTCCTCTGTTAGGAGACTTAAAATACCAATCATTATTCTCATTGTGGTCCTCTGACCTGGTTGTTTTCCTACAGATATTTCATTACCAGACTAGGTAAGATTATCAGTAGATGAGAGACTGAAATTTTTTGGTTGTTTATAACTTTATATGCTTGCCCTGATAATCTTGGTTGCACTAATGATGTTACATAGCCTGGTAACAAAATGTCTGCAAGAAAATAGCCAAGCTTAGAGAACCAACCATTTAACACACAACTATGGACATTATCTTTTGCCTTCAAAGTAATCAAAGTTGATTGTTTTATTATTGATCTATTTATAACCTTCCAACCAGGGAGTGACTCAAATAAGTGGCAAAAAGATGAAATGGTGCATCAGTGGACTAATTAATAAATAAATACAGTCCAGCACAAAAATAGATAGCTCATGAGAAAAGAATAGCAATTAAAAATGGTATTCCTGTGCCAAGTTTCGAGCCAGCATCTAAGGCAAACATTATACCCATTAAGTGAGCAAGAAGACTTTTTGTAACATACCCAGCAGCAACTATTATTCAGGAAAAGCAAGAAATGCATGGTGAGCTGGTATTCCTACCTTTACAAAGTGGCCAAAGTGTTCGCCTATTAAAAGCAATGCAGCAGAGAAACTGTATAGCAGGGATGTCAAACTGCCGGCCTGCGGGCCGGTTTCATCATACCGGAGCCGCGCCCACCCCATTGCCGGCAATGGCAAAAAAGCTCTGATACATTGCGTGACGCCATGTGACGTCACGAGTTTGACATGTCTGCTGTATAGCAATGCTTTGAGCCACCAGAAGCAGAAAAACACTATAAGTAGTCCGCAGGTTACAACAGCAGTTTTGATCAACAACTCAGTCGCTAAGTGACATGGTCTAAGGCATGATGTCACATGATTGTATTATTTAGGGACAGTCATTCCTGCAGTCCAAGTTGCTATGGTTAAACAAAGACATCACATGATGGCAACATCTGACTTCTTGCAGGCTTCTCCATTGATTTTGCTTATGGGAAGCTGTCAAGGAACATCAGAAATCATGATTATATGACTGAGGGATGCTGCAACCACTGAAACTCCAAGATCCTATTATAATTCCCTGGTATTTATGGTTGTAGCAAGTTTAAACTTTGTTGCATGAATGGTCATAACTCAAGGACTACCTGTACTTGGAAAATGGACCAGAAAAATTTACCCAGAGGTCATATTTCCAGTGGGCATACAAGGCAATGTCATCCATTCCTACTCCTCAAAATTAGTTGCTGGTCAATATGGACAATAGACAATCTGACTATTCAGGTTAGCCCTTGGAGAAGAATCGCTTTTAAAAGTAATTTCTTTCATAGACGTTAAATCCCTTAGTTCCTTAGTTACTTTTTTCTACTTTTGAGAGAGGGTTACTATCTGATAAGTTGTTTGAAGTTTAACTTTTGGTCTGATTTGTTAAGATGAGATTTCCCAAACCAACCATCTGGCAGAACTGCAAACCAAACTCTCTTGGTATGATACTTCACATAGAAAGTGAAATATTGGGTTCTAAATTATAGCTCTCACAGTGCTCCTTTCTCAGGGTCATCAGCCGTGCTCCAGGTTTGAAGCTGGTGGTTGAAACTCTCATTTCATCACTCAAGCCTATTGGAAATATTGTCCTCATCTGCTGTGCTTTCTTTATAATCTTTGGAATTCTTGGAGTGCAGGTATGGTACAATTTTACAATTTTAAACACTTCTGAAAAGTATGCTTTGAAATGTCTTTCTAAAGGTGCCCATTAGATATGTCGGGATTCCAACTTTCCCAGTTCTTAGCTTTGGTCTTTCTTTGTCAGGCATAAAAAATCAAGGCAAGGGTCCAATTAAACTGACATTGTTAATCCTGCATATGCATAGGAATCTTCTCAAGCACCTTCTTGGAGTTAGATAAGGATCCACGGAATTAAAAGAGGGTTGGACTTAGTTCACTTGTGGTTACATAGGGATTCTAGGCTGATCTCTCTTTTAACTCCACCCCCAGGTTCTGCCACCACTCCTCATACATTCTTAGGGATAGAATGTATGAATAGAGTTCCATTTCTGGGCTGCCCTTGTTTCCCCAATCTAACATTTATTAATAATCAACATGTCCAATTTCCCACATATGATGATAGTTCAAAGTAGGTACATACTGTATATGTCAAAAAGAGGTGCTGCAAGTTTTTCTCTATCTTTGCAGTACCATTATTATAGACTATTTTCTTTGTGCCTTGGATCTCTAATAGTGGCTGGTCTTATTACACCGGATTTTTTTCTTGTATCTTTTTTGAGAACCTTTACTTAACCCAGGTAGTAAAATTACCGAAATGAAGAACTAGATAAAAGGTACACGATATTTCTTCCTTGTCTAAAGTTTGATTGTTTTATAATCCAGACCTAAAACTCGGTATTATTCTACATCAACCTAGCATCCTGAGTTACGACTTTACTAATCTGGTCAGAGATGAGATGCCTTAAGACAACAATTTAATTATTATTATTATTTAAAAAAAACACTTTTCTTATTTCTCTGACTCTCCCCCACGTTTCAAGCACAAAATCCTCCTACAGCTGTTTAGAGATGGAAAGAAATGGTATTCTCTTTATTTTGGTCTTCATCTGTAAGAGTGGGTAATGTTTCTATCTTTATATAAAAATATACTAGAGTCTGTATTGCCTATTTCAAGGAGGAACAACTTCAAAATGTATAAGAAGTGCAGCAAATAGTTTCTCTTCTTAGAACATAATCTTTATGGATTTTCATAGGGCGGGCATATGCTTCAGTTTGGTCTCCTGGCAACGAAAGGTCTACAGCCAATTTGTTTTGGTCTTTTATTTATTTAAATATAAAATATCGTTATTGATTTTTGCTAGGTAAAGATGGGAATGAGAGGATTCTGTGAGGCAAACTGCTCACATTCTCAATTTTTTAATCTCCCAAAGTCATTGCCAAACCACTCTTCTGTGGTGGATTTGAAGCTATTTTTTGGAACTAGGAGTGAAGAATAGAAGTAATTTCCCTTTTAGCGACCTTCCTTTTCCATTCCCAGCTGTAATACTCCAAACAAATGTAAAAAAAATGACCTGAAACCAGGTCATTGAAGCATATAGCTCCAATCTCCCCTTCTTTTTTTATAATCCATGATCCCTTAATTTAGGGTAGAGTTGGGGCAATTGGATGGAGCCGAGCATTTACTGGCTGAATGCAGTGGTGGGATTCAGCCAGTTCATACCACTTCGTCAGAACTGGTAGCTAATTTTTTGTTGCCCAGACCCAGAATGGACTTCCGGAAGCAGCATCTACACAGAGAATCGGTTGTT